TTTTTTTTCTCACCATATTTCAATATCATGAACAAATTATGATATTGGAATTCACAATCTCTGCACATGTTTGGTACTTCATCATAAAAAATGAGTTTAATGTTCCAAAAAATATTCTTTTTTGATAAATTCCTTAGATTTGTTGTCAGATATGTATTTTTGACTTCCACATTGTCTACGTCAAAATGCAAAAAGATTCCACATTTGTTGAGTGGATGTTATACGATTCCTGCCTCGTCAGGTAAAATAGTGACTATATATCATTCGAGGGGGCCAGGAATGTGCCAGCCTTTTAACAAATGTCATTCACAATAGACAAGTTCCTATATTGCCGATCACAAGATGATGTATCGATGACATATCCCACTCACAAAAATATCTGCCTGTGACCTACACATGTATTGATGTGTTGATATCTCCCTTGTTTATATCCGTACATACAAACAAACATTATGTGAAGAGCCGAAAAAAAAAAATCACAACCCAAAACAACAAGTACACAGATCCCTTACGTAAAATATAAGTCAAAATTCTCCGTCAAATTAATCCATAAAAAAAAATAAACCTGATAAAACGTTCTGTCCAATATAGAATTCCATTTCTGTGGATTTGTGATCCATAAAGTATTCCAAAGATCTCTGGAGTCAAACAAAGTCTGTCTACTGCTCACAGGTTTAGGTACATCAGAACTGTCAGCTCAAACAGAAATATGTATTAGACTCCTCACAGGAAAAGGTAAGTGATCATATAGGTATATATGTATATATATAGAGTACACACCTTGATTCCTTTTACCTGTAGAAGGCTTCTGATATTTACAGGTAACACTAGGCTAGCACAAAAGCCGTAAGTACATATATCTCGTATTGTGTGTACACACATAAGTAAATAGGAAAATCTGATTCCTTTCACAGTCTTAGGACACAGATATGATCACTAGCTAACTGCCTAGGAATTTAAACGTAATGTTCACCAAAACTTTCTAATATTATTGACACAAAGTGCTGACATTGTCCAGTGATTAACCAATTAGCAGGGTAATTACCTGTACAAAGAATATATGTCCAAGATATGACACTTACTTTTTACACCTGAAAGCGTCAGGTGTTTCACCTGTAACCTACACTCAACCTGAAATTTGGCCCCAGGGCACATGTATGTGTCGGAGTGACAGGTGCACCCTGTATACCCATTGGTCAATAAAAACAGGTGAAAATATAAATCCAATTAACACAGGTATGATATAACTCAGGTGTTTTGTATCTGTGATAACAAAGAGAGATATAGACATCACATTTAAAATATTGGTGAAATGTAGACATGTGGATATGAAAATCAATTACCCTTTGATCAAATACATTAACGTTACAACAATAGAATATAGCTGTGAACACATCACCCATAAAATGTTGACTTAACTAAGGTACCTTTTCTAATACACAAAAGTGTATAAGGTTAATGACCAAACGATTTTCGATGATATTAAAGCACTTAACATCTAATGGATGAAATATTGGTTGCAATTTTCAATAAATTCTGGATATCACAGCTTACTTAATTTGCCTTAGTTATTCAAGCACTGTTAGCTTTACTTTTTATAAAATAATTTTTTACCTACGTATTAAATTATTAAATTTTACTGATCTTTGAACTGTTTTATGATTATGTTTAATGATTATCATTTAGAATAAATTTATAATCCACATTTCATATCTAGAATGAAATATACTCAAATGTATTCTGGAAGGAATGGTTTTGTTCAAATTGACATGGATTTTGATCCATGGATTTTACATCAGAAGGAGACAGGGCCAACATTGCGGCAGGATAGCATCTCACAGTTATACATTAATAAAATATAGTGTGTTGCTATAATGATTTACAACAGGTAAAAATGCAATTTGTGAAATTCTGTTGAAAGACCATTCAACAGCATAAATGCCTATTGTTTGCCGAGTAGTAGAGTCAGGTACAGATCGATTTTTACCTTGACGGTATATGTCTAAGATGGCTCAATTACCAGGTAAAATATCCGAATAGGCAGAATTCACAGGGTCCTCAGAGTATCGTCGTTAGAGTGACTTTAATTTATCTATATAGTGCATAACTCCATTGATATGAAAATTATGTAATTGCTTCATACACACAAGTTTATTTCATGTGTTTCATCATTATTTAATATACATGAAGTCTTCAACATAAAATCAACTTGAATATAAGGACCACTGCATGTAAGGACCACCTGAAATAAGGGCCACTGAATGTAAGGACCACCTGAAATAAGGGCCACTGAATGTAAGGACCACTGAATAGAAGGACCACCTGAATATGTTAGGACCACCTGAATATAAGGACCACCTGAATATAAGGGCCACTGAATGTAAAGGCCACTAAATGTAAGGACCACTGAATAGAAGGACCACCTGAATCTATGGGCCACCTGAATATAAGGGCCACTTGAATGTAAGGGCCACTGAATGTCAGGACCACTGAATATGTTAGGACCACCTGAATGTAAGGGTTACCTGAATATTAGGACCACTGAATGTAAGGATCACCTGAATCTAAGGGCCACTGACTGCAAGGACCACCCGAATATGTTAGGATCTCCAGAATATAAGGGACTAGGTTTACTTGAATATAAAGACCATCGGAATATTAGGACCCCCTGAATCTAAGGACCACTGACTGCAAGAATCATCTTAATATGTTAGAACCACCAGAATATAAGGAATGAGGACTACCTGAATATAAGGACCATTAAAACTACCTGAATATAAGGACCACCTGAAATTAAGGAACAACTGTTATAAGACCAGCTATCACTTGAAACCCCATGTGGCCTTTTCAGAGAGGTTTCAGTGTGCCATAATGTATTCAGATTGTTTTGGCAGATGTATTTATATATTTCCTTAAAACCAAGAGAGAGCTACACAGCTGAATGGATCTAGATATATTTCTTATCATGGTCTTAGAATGATGTACATTAATGAAGTGTTATGCTGCTTTTGTTTTCAAAATATGACACTTCATCAAGATAATGTTTGAAAATGGCCCTTCAACCTTTGACGATCTGATCACCATTATTGAAAAGTACAGCTGTTGTCAACATATAAGCAATCAACCACTGAATACAAAACGTTTTTTTTTTTTGACAAAATCTATCTAAACACAATCAGATTGATTCTTCACAAAGCCTTTTTATCTCTACAGAATGGAAATGTTATCCCCTACATTGCTGACAACATCAGATCCATGAACAGAGCTGAAAGTATCTTGACTGATAGAATGATTATCACCAGGCTACAGTGCAGATATGTAGTATCCTTCAACATGACAATTCATCCTTAATGTTTCAGTCTGCTTAGCTGTATCAAAGTGTAACAACATATGCCTGGAAGCAAATTTGTGAATGACTGGTGTCTCTCCAAGAGAGCAATGACTTAGGGGATTATATGCTTGTTTTTATGCATCTACAGGAGTTTAGAACATGAATCTTGGTTTTAACATTAGATGAAGTCAAAATTTTAAAATGACAAAATTCGTGATACGAACTTCAGTAGATACATAAAACAAAGGGAGCCATTTCCTGTTTGTTTCACCTGGTTTTGTTGTTCTCAAATTGCTCTACCCAAACTAAAGGAAAAGGAATTATAATCTTAAAGAATATGCTCTATTTCCCTTATTAAAAAAAGATCCCTTTACCCTTGGATGCTTCAGACCAAATTGGGAAAGATTCCTGACATTTCTACAGATGAAGAAGCAAATTGTTTGCGATTTCGCTCCCTTTTTCCTATTGGGCCCCACCCCTTTGACCCCTTGTAACTTATTTCTTCTTCACTTGAGGATGTTTCGATGTTAGAAACAAAATCTGGATAATTAAGTAAATTCCCTTCACCAAAAGGTGCTTCAGACCATATTTTTTCGAGAAAATTTCATTTTTAACATTTTTAAGAATTTCCTATTTTGAGCCCAGCCCGAAAGGCTCCATCGAGGTTAGACAAAACAGGTTCTCTTTCCTTAAGAAAACTTCTGACCAAAATCTGCCAGGCCATACCAGACTAGTGTAGTGTTTTAATGAAATTGATGATGGACTAATGATGGATGCCACAGCACGATGTTAGTTCACAAGCTATAAAACATATCATCCCTATTCTAAATTCATTTCAGGCTCAAAATGATGTAAATTTAGAATTACAAGAGAAATTAAAGTGACATCTGAAAATTTCTGTTCTAAGCTGCCCCTCAACTGCTCTTAGCCAATCACCCATTTCAACCATTGTTGATGTAGAGGAAGCTCCATCTAATTTCAAATTGTCAATGGATTTAGGTCAGGATGTCGGTTAAGGTATGCAAAATGACTTGAAATGTTTCTCTGTGTTGATTATCTGTCAGAATCATATTGTATATGAGTCCCTTGTGTACATACCTGAAATTTATGACATCATGAGTGGCATCGATAATTGTTTGCTTATTTAGACTGATATCAGTCGATATCGTAGAGCGGTTTCAGAGTTTACAATCGATCGGAGAATTGTGGAAGTTAGCAGTACATTTATTTCAAACTGAGATTTAGATTCAATTCTATACAGATTTTTCCTGTTAAGTATAAGGAGACAATGATTGTTACTGTCACCTTGTTACCATTGACTTCATTCAGTTAAGACACTATGTGTTTGATGAAGTGGATTGATAATTTGTCATATTTCTGATATATTACCAACAAACTGATAAGTCAAGACTTGAAATAGGAGAAAAATGAATTGGAACATTTCACAAAAATAGTCGGCCTCATTCTCTCCACCTGGTCATTTGAAGTCATTTTGTGTCAGTCATGAATTTTCTCAATGTCAACCATATGTCTCAGCAACAACGATGGCAGCCATGTTTTGGCTATTGCCATGACGAAGTACTGGTGATTCATGAGTATATAAGTTCAGATGTCTTGACACAATCAGATGAGGGTAAAAGAGTACCTAATAAAAGAAAATTTCACTTACCATCACCTTGGTTCTGATTTTTGTGGAAGATTCGTCGTCGTTCACGGCTAAGGCTTCTGGGTCGGATCTTTTGAGACTTGCTGCGGACCAGGATTCTTCCGCTTTCACTGTCACATGACCCTGAGTACTCTGCAAAGGTCAGAACATTAAGCATTATCCATAGAACTTAATCATAAAAGGCATGTGAGAATCAAGTCACGTAGATCAACTAAAACAGAATAGAAGCTCTTATAACACAACCAGTAGAAGAATAGAGTGACTGCACGGTCACCTTCATCAAACAAATGACCAGTGTGGAGAATTCTAGCACTGACATAGTAGTGTAAGAGATGGTAAGGAATCAACTAACTTTTTCAGTTTGTATCATAATCCTGTGTAAACTATGGCTGAAAACAGTGTGATGAGGTGGTAAACAGTTTAAAGACCAAAATATACAGAAGATGGTAACAATATACTGCAGTCAATTCGGCTATACTTTGTTTAAAACTTGGTCATACACGTGCGGGAAGTCTGTGGCCCCCATCGCTACTGTTCAGTACTGGTTCACGGCGGTGTGTCCAGATGGGTTCCTAAAACAGCTGCCTGGAAAGGTTATTTTCCGTGTCAACTCTTTTGGATTTTCCAGTCATTGATATGATTTTGCTGTGTGGAATGATCTGTATGTGCTGATCTGCTGATCTATTGATCTGGGAATGTTTTTGCTCTGATCTGGTGAAATTTTTTGCCTTCCTGGGATTCTGTGTCTTTCTGATGTTTATTAAGTCGGACCCCAAATCTCCTGCTTGTTTCTGTGATATATGATGGGTCGCAGATCTTGCATCCACTTTAGTCCACGCATTCTGCGACATTCTCTTTGGGTATTTTATCCTCAAGATGGACAAGAATATTTTCTAGAGTTTTGTGAGGTTTCATGGCTGTTGCAATGCCATGACCACGGTAAATCTCTGAATGGTTTCTTACAGACCTTTGATGTAAGGGATATCAACTTGACCTTTCGTTTTGTTCTTTTCCTTGGTGTTTCACCGCTTAGTCTTTTTCTTTATAGGAAATTCGTTGTTCACTTTCAGGATTGCCCAGTCAGGGTATCCACATGTTTTCATGGCACCATGAATGTGATTTTGCTCCTGCTTCTAGTCTTGTTCTTCTGTGACAATTATTTCACATTTGTCGAGAAAGGTTCAAACAAAAACCTAACTTTTGATTTAATGGATGGTATGATCCAAAGTTGAGATATAGGTCCATGTGCATATTTTCCCTATAGACCAATACTTTGATAGTACTGTCAAGGACTGGCATAGCACCATTGATTTCTTCCTCACAGGTGAATTTGATGCTGTCAGTGGTATCTACGGTATATTGATATGCTCAGTCAAATCTTTCTGTGATCCCTTTTTTGACTATTTTCTATATGTCATCAACATACCACTGCCACAGACTGGTCTTGCTCTAGGCAGTTCTGAATGATACCAAGTGCTTTGTTAGTGGGTGTGTTGGTGTAAATAGACGTCCATGGAGTGAAATGAATTCCTAATCATTTCGGATCAGTACCATGGACATACTTTCCGGAAAGCCTTTCAAGTTTTTGACATGATGTTCTGATTTTCCCACCAGGAGTACTAGAAAGTCTCTAATCTTCTACTGGTTTTGTTATAAGAACTTCTATTCTATTCTACTGACTATTCTGTTGACTATTCTACTGACTATTCTACTGACTACACTACTGTCAATTCTACTGACTATTCTATTGACTATTCTACTGACTATTCTACTGACTATTCTACTGACTATTCTATTGACTATTCTACTGACTATTCTATTCTATTCTACTGTCTATTCTACTGACTATTCTATTGACTATTCTATTGACTATTCTGTTGACAATTCTGTTGACTATTCTGTTGACTATTCTACTGACTATTCTGTTGACTATTCTATTGACTATTCTGTTGACTATTCTATTGACTATTCTATTGACTATTCTATTGACTATTCTGTTGACTATTCTACTGACTATTCTACTGACTATTCTACTGACTATTCTATTGACTATTCTACTGACTATTTTATTGACTATTCTACTGACTATTCTATTGACTATTCTATTGACTATTCTACTGACTACTATTCTATTGACTATTCTATTGACTATTCTATTGACTATTCTACTGACTATTCTACTGACTATTCTGTTGACTATTCTAATGACTATTCTATTGACTATTCTGTTGACTATTCTATTGACTATTCTATTGACTATTCTATTGACTATTCTATTGACTATTCTATTGACTATTCTATTGACTATTCTATTGACTATTCTGTTGACAATTCTGTTGACTATTCTATTGACTATTCTATTGACTATTCTGTTGACAATTCTGTTGACTATTCTGTTGACTATTCTGTTTCTGACTATTCTATTGACTTGACTATTCTACTGACTATTCTACTGACTATTCTACTGACTATTCTACTGACTATTCTGTTGACTATTCTACTGACTATTCTATTGACTATTCTATTGACTATTCTACTGACTATTCTATTGACTATTCTACTGACTATTCTATTGACTATTCTACTGACTATTCTGTTGACTATTCTATTGACTATTCTATTGACTATTCTACTGACTATTCTACTGACTATTCTACTGACTATTCTATTGACTATTCTATTGACAATTCTATTGACATAACCAACCCTGAAAAAATGGTCTAAAAGATCAACTAAAGATTTTATAGTGCTAAAGAGAGTAAAAGTGCCAAACCTTCATATTCACTGAAGCAACTCTATCACAACATCCTTCTTCAATGTAGAAAATGGACACTAACAGTCTCAACTAGGAACTGACCACACATTCCCTTCAACAGAACACTTACAGTCTCAAATAGGAACTGACCACACATTCCCTTCAACAGAACACTTACAGTCTCAAATAGGAACTGACCACACATTCCCTTCAACAGAACACTTACAGTCTCAAATAGGGACTGTCAACAGAGTCCCTTCAAAAGAAAATGGACTATTAGAGTCTCAAACAGGAACTGACCACACGTTCTCTTCAAAAGAAAATGGACACTCACAGTCTGAAAAACGAAATGACCATAGACACTCTCTACAACAGGAAATGGACAAACACACTCTTCAGTAGGGAATGACCGGACAGTTTCTACAACAGGGAATGGACAAACACACTCTTCAGTAGGGAATGACCGGACAGTTTCTACAACAGGGAATGGACAAACACACTCTTCAGTAGGGAATGACCAGACAGTTTCTACAACAGGGAATGGACAAACACACTCTTCAGTAGGGAATGACCAGACAGTTTCTACAACAGGGAATGGACAAACACACTCTTCAGTAGGGAATGACCAGACATTTTCTACAGCAGGAATTAGACATTCAAATTCTCTAATATGTAAAAACTTCGAACAACAACAATGGATAAACTCTTCAACAGAAAATGTTGTCAATGTGATTCCTAACATCAAAATGCAATGTTTGACCTCTTTTCGTAATTGCCTTGTTCATTACCATTTAACATATCCTATGCATTATATCTGCCATGACTACCAGTTCGTATGTACTTAATCAGCATAATTAATCGACAATGTTTAAGCACAGAACCTTAACAGTGTTATAGGCAGCTAGAAAACTCCCCCGTTTGATTTTCTATTTGCCTGATCAACAGCTGCAATCCCCAGTTGGCCAAGAAGTCTAGAATGGTTGCCTGTATTTGGAAATAAGTAAGCGATCTTTTATTCCCCAAGGAACAATACATGTCAGGCCTATGGATGCCTTTGCTAATTGAAGTGGCAATATTCATCTCTTCTGTCAGACCTTGGTGGAGTTATCGCATGTCCATGTGATCTTGTAGTGTCAGTTTGTTCCCAAAATAGAAGACAAGACACCAAAATATGACATGTTGCCACAGACCTTCAAGGATATTAACCCAATTCCGGAACACAATTTTATTTATGTTTGATTTGGTTAAAGAAGGAACTGGTGTTTCGACATGGCGGCAAGTCACATGTAAGAATTTGAAATAACACTTGGTGATACACCTGGTGTTCTATTAAACAAACACATATTTAGTGTCTGTGTACCTCTTGTCTATTTCTTTCTTCAGCTTGCCAGTTGCTGTTTTTTTTTTTTTTAATTTTTTCATTTCTTTTGTCAATTAGTTGAACACAAAAATATTTTAGCTTGTGAAGTTCAAACACAGAATTAATCCAATCAGTGGGAAATGGCCATCTGACGGTGAAACACATTGGAATTTCTCCTTGACAAATCATCAATGATTCTGAATGATTGTGATTTTTTCAAAATAAAGGCAGGGAATGGAAACATGAAGTGTATCTTATAACGAAGTCATGATTATCATATAAACAAATACCAATGAAAATTAAGATATGCTAAAATGATTTATTTTTTCAAAATTTCACTCAACTATCTCCTTACAAAAATTCTATTGTGAAATTTTGCTGACACCATCTTCAAAATTGGGGAAATTTATTTCAAATTTGTAAAAAATTTGTTTTACAAATTTGATTCGCAAAGATTGACACAGAAAATAAATGATTTTTGGTATGTACTCGTGATTTGTTCTTTGAATAATAAAAAATATCAGATATTTCATTTTGCAAGGTTGATATCAATTTAGATAATGAAATAATGAGTTTTGTTGAATATTTATGTGAGGTCCTCTTCTAACCTCTTTGAATTGGCAAACAAATTATCCTGTTAGAAAATTTGAATCAAAATGAGAAAAAAATTAATTTCAACCAATCAGAAGAGATGATGCCATTTTCATCTTCAAATCAGAACCAGTAGTTGTGTTCATTAAGTGGCTTGTGATAATACCAGATATATATATACATAATCAATCTGCTGAAAATTCACATAAGGTGTGAATTCAATGAATTAAAACCTAATGAGAAAGAAGCAAATAAAAACTCTGAACGTTCGATATCGAAATGATTAAAAATGATCACAAACTAGCAGATCATTGAATCCTTTCAAAAGTATGAAAGTCACAATGAATAAGAACGTTCAAATATCAAAATAGATTAAATAAATATCTACAAGAATCCAGGTTATTCAGAAAATGATGTATTAAAATTTCAATACATTTGCTATGACCTTGCCTTGGAATTAGGTCGTGGTGCATAAATTATTTCAGCAGACCTGATAACCTTTTATTTCAGCATGGATGACCAAACATGACCCTGGGGTTATATGAGATCACAACCTCAGATTGTTTGAAAATTCAAATACATTCAAATCTATAGATGGTAAATTGGATTAGTTTGAAATTAACGAAAACTGATGTTTTTTATTATTAGTTATGTTAGGTCATGTTAACAGACTTCAATTCTTAAATCTCACCATGATCAAGAAGTTTAAATTAAAAGAACATTAAAGGAAAAAACACATTTGAAGACTATTATTGAATATCGCCTGAAGTTAAAACTCAAGATATACGCTCAGTATATCATCCATGAAATAATAAGAAAGACAACAAGTTTAGAATACAAACTATCAGAACACGATGCTTATTCTTTACTTCGTCAAATTAGCGTAAAGGAACAAAATCAATTTCAGACTTTTCTTCTCCTCACGTCAGCTCTGGTCAATAGTGTTAGTTACCAAAAAATAGTGCAGAACCATAAGTGGCCCATACATGTTGATGAAATCCCTAACCTACCCTATCTATCACCTATCCTATCTATCACCTACCCTATCTGTCACCTACCCTATCTATCAGTGTTGATGAAATCCCTGACCTACCCTGTCTGTCAGTGTTGATGAAATCTCCGACCTACCCTATCTATCACCTACCCTATCTGTCAGTGTTGATGAAATCCCTGACCTACCCTGTCTGTCAGTGTTGATGAAATCCCCGACCTACCCTATCTATCACCTACCTTATCTATCAGTGTTGATGAAATCCCCGACCTACCCTATCTATCACCTACCCTATCTCTCAGTGTTGATGAAATCCCCGACCTACCCTGTCTGTCAGTGTTGATGAAATCCCTGACCTACCCTGTTTGTCAGTGTTGATGAAATCTCCGACCTACCCTATCTATCACCTACCCTATCTGTCAGTGTTGATGAAATCCCTGACCTACCCTGTCTGTCAGTGTTGATGAAATCCCCGACCTACCCTATCTATCACCTACCTTATCTATCAGTGTTGATGAAATCCCTGACCTACCCTATCTATCACCTACCCTATCTATCAGTGTTGATGAAATCCCTGACCTACCCTATCTATCACCTACCCTATCTATCAGTGTTGACGAAATCCCCGACCTACCCTGTCTGTCAGTGTTGATGAAATCCCTGACCTACCCTGTCTGTCAGTGTTGATGAAATCCCTGACCTACCCTGTCTGTCAGTGTTGATGAAATCCCTGACCTACCCCCTACCCTGTCTGTCAGTGTTGATGAAATCCCTGACCTACCCTATCTATCAGTGTTGATGAAATCCCTGACCTACCCTATCTATCAGTGTTGATGAAATCCCTGACCTACCCTATCTATCAGTGTTGATGAAATCCCTGACCTACCCTATCTATCAGTGTTGATGAAATCCCTGACCTACCCTATCTATCAGTGTTGATGAAATCCCTGACCTACCCTATCTATCAGTGTTGATGAAATCCCTGACCTACCCTATCTATCAGTGTTGATGAAATCCCTGACCTACCCTATCTATCAGTGTTGATGAAATCCCTGACCTACCCTATCTATCAGTGTTGATGAAATCCCTGACCTACCCTATCTATCAGTGTTGATGAAATCCCTGACCTACCCTATCTATCAGTGTTGATGAAATCCCTGACCTACCCTATCTATCAGTGTTGATGAAGTCCCTGACCTACCCTATCTATCAGTGTTGATGAAATCCCTGACCTACCCTTTAGCCCTTTGTTTTAATCAGCTGTCAACATGACACAAAAATATTATCATTATTCTTTGTTTCTGGTGAATTTGGAAAGCTAATGTTAAGGTTGCTACGACAACAGGGCACTTGTTATCACGGAGCAAGGTTTGTTTGTAAGCACCAACGTAGCACAAAAGAATTAGTTTCAACAAATCATTCTGACAGAAAAATCAATATGGTGTCGTGGAAATGTGAAACAGAGTTTTTTTGGTATTTTTTTTGGTTCCGGTAAACAGTACAATATTAAGCCACAAACGTGGCAGGTTGTGTTACATCAACTTCTCACACTGATGAAGAATAATTTGAATTCTGCACTTTGATGATTCCTTTAAGTTAATTATCCGGCAAGGTTTTTACCTTAATTGGATATAGAAAAATCAGAAAGATTAGGTATGGTGGATTGGTGTAATCATACAGAGAAGGTTTAACAAATGATGATTGATTGTCATTTCTATCTAATAAAGTGTCGTCACTCTAACACAACTCACATTTGAGTACTTTGAGCTGACTCACCAGAACTTTAGAAACTTAACACAACTCAGATATCAATATTCTGAGCTGACTCACCAGAACTTATAGAAACTTAACACAACTCAGATATCAATATTCTGAGCTGACTCACCAGAACTTATAGAAATTTAATACAACTTAGATATCAATATTCTGAGCTGACTCACCAGAACTTATAGAAATTTAATACAACTTAGATATCAATATTCTGAGCTGACTCACCAGAACTTATAGAAATTTAATACAACTTAGATATCAATATTCTGAGCTGACTCACCAGAACTTATAGAAATTTAATACAACACAGTTGTCAATATTCTGAGCAGACTCACCAGAACTTATAGAAACTTAACACAACTCAGATATCAATATTTGAGCTGACTCATCAGAACTGTTAGAAACTTAACACAACTCAGATCACATCGTTGTGAGCTGACTCACTAGAACTGTTAGAACCTTACTACAACTCAGATGTCAACATTCTGAGCTGACTAATCAGCACTGTTAAAAACTTGACACAACTCAGGTGTCATATCTTTAGCTGATTTACCAGAACTGATAGAAACCTTACCATACTTAACTCAATTTAACCAATGATATATGTTACAATTTTTAGCTGACTAATTTTTCTGTGATAGATTTTGTGATTTTGAGCTAACTCACCTGAGCTGTCAGGACTAGGGGTCTGCAGCCAAGCATTTTTGTCGTTGGTTTGTTGTGTTAGAAACTGTGCTGTGGTAGCCGATTCTTTATTCTCTGTTGAAGTTGTCACAGGACTTCTAATGATCGGCAGAGTCTTGGACCTTTGTAACTCTCTACCGGCTGCTTTTCTGTTTGACAATAAAAAATGACAAAGTTTATTGAGTTTGCTGGAGGTACAATGATTTAGGCTGATTACAATACATAAAACTGACTGAATCTTGGTGCAATCAGTAGAAGTGTCTGCATTATTTTAAGATGGAAATATTCCACAGCTCATCACACAACAGAAATATTTATCCTAAAGCAAAGCAAGTTCTGTTTATCTCACAAAATATATCATGAATAAAAGATAAACAAAAAAATATTATTGTTTAAACATATGAAAAAGAAAGAAAATGATGATTTCTCCCTGAAAACAACTTTATTTACACAAAATTTTAACAAAGAGCAATAATTCTGTAATAAAGGGGTTTCAGACACTGAATTTGGTATACTATACACTTGTACGACTCATGCATCCACCAAGTTTCATTATCCTAATCTAAAAGAAAGCAAAGCTTAGTTCTGGACAAAAAATATTAACAAATGGCAATGCTACAATATGCTAAAGGAGATGCAACTCCTAACATTGTTACAATGCCCATTGCTTTCACATGATCAATGTATACACCATTTTAACAAAGGGCAATAACTCTGTACTGTGGTTGCAAGTCCTAACATTGGTACACTGCCCATTGCTTTCATATGATCAATGTATAAACCATTTTAACAAAGGGCAATAACTCTGCAATTATGGGGTTGCAAGTATTGAATTTGGTACACTGCATATCCTCTTTGTATGACCAATGTATACACCAACTTTCATTAGCCTTAAGCTTAAATGAAAGTAAAGTTATGCTCATAAGACAGAAGGATTACCAAAGGGAATTGACTGTACATCCTCTTAGTATGATCAATGTACAGTGTTTATTCTAAATTTTAATATACCAGGTTTAATACAAATAAAGCTAAGCTCCAAACATGAAATTTTCACAAAGGGCAAATAATTCTACAACTGAGGGTTTGAAGGTCCAGAATTTGCTATACTGCACATTGCCCTAGTATGACCAATATATATATATACAGTTTCATGATCCTTGATTAACTTTGGGGAAACTTATGCCCTGGACACAAAAGGACAGAAGGAAAGACAGACAGATGGATAGATGGACAGACAAAGCAGTTACTACATGCTCCTTTAAAATTTTCAAGAAGCATAAAAATCTAACATAATTATAAAATCTTAAACTGCTTCTTTATTCTTTGAAAATGAATGAAAATCAGTCATGCATTGCAAGTGCATAAATATCCCCCCCTGAACTCAGAATCACATACATTTTTGTTCAACATTTATAGGGTGGGCTTATGGCATGACGATGCTAGCAGTCAATGGTATATGTAAATATTTTCAGTTTTAGTATGGAAATTTTGGAGATTGCATGCATCAATTAAATTCTTAAGTAAAATTACAGTTATTGACTTAAGAGAAAGTCAATATAAGGAATTGCGAACCCAAGGATTATTGTATCAAGATTAATATGGTCTTCTGCATATTCTATCAAGATTTAGCAAGTTTAATGTGCTTTGGAAATTGAATTGGAAAGTAAATAAAAAGATTTAATCGAAATCGTATTAGATTTGTTCCAAAGTCAGAGAGAAAGTAGATAAATACCATTAGGCTCTGGGGGAAACAGAGGTATATCTGGTAATGTCATAAGATTATGTGTGTGGGTAGCTATTCTGTTTGATAAATGTATGCTTCATCAAACGTATTAACTTCTGACATTTCTCAACTGACAACAATTCCTCTTGAGAGATAATTATTTCATTTCCAGATTTATACAAGAGCTACATACAGTAGATGGGGAGAAGATTTGTTTGTCAATGAAAAGTCAGGACAGAAACTTCATTAATAACACCAAAATGGAGTGAGGGCGGAATAAAAAGGAAATGCGGACAGCATCTGCCAGCGGAGCTCTCTAAAACTGTCACTCATACCATACATCAACGTAATCATTTAGAAAATATAAATACCTAGACTTCATAAATCGTAGCAATATAATGTCTTTGCTATACGTTGTCAGTAAAACTCATTTTGCAACAGAATTATCAAGGTATATCTTTGCAAATTCTGAAAAACAGTAAGTCTATCTTTGACTTACTGACAACACTAAACAAGGGCAGATAACCATATTTCTTCAAAATTAACCATTGACATTATTTTTTGTGTGATGGATTAAAGTTTTTGTATGACTCCTACAGTAAGCTCAGGTGTCCAACACATAAACCCAGGTTATCAATGAATAATGTGACTTATTACAAGACAATAAGTCCAGAGGACCAACACACAAATTCTGAGACAATAATCCCAGCTTGCCAATGCATAATGTGACTTGTGAACTTATTACAAGACAATAAGTCCAGATCAACGTATAAATTCAAACTTAAACTGGGCATGGGTTTCTCACAATACACTAATATTGTGTAACCTGAGACTCAAAATTGGAGGTGAATTTATCACAGGACAATAAGCCCATGTTTTCAATGCATAACATGTGACCCAAAGTCAAGATGGGCTTACTACTAGACAATAAGTCCAGGAGTTAAGACACAAAGTCTGAATCAATTTTGGGATGGTTAATGACAGGAAACCTAGAGATGTGTTTATCACAGGACATTCTACAGTAAACCAGGAGATGTGTTTATCACAGGACATTCTACAGTAAACCTGGAGATGTGTTTATCACAGGACATTCTACAGGAAACCTAGAGATGTGTTTATCACAGCACATTCTTAAGTAAACCAGGAGATGTGTTTATCACAGGTCATTCTACAGTAAACCTGGAGATGTGTTTATCACAGGACATTCTACAGTAAACCTAGAGATGTGTTTATCACAGGACATTCTACAGGAAACCTAGAGATGTGTTTATCACAGGACATTCTTAAGTAAACCAGGAGATGTGTTTATCACAGGTCATTCTACAGTAAACCTGGAGATGTGTTTATCACAGGACATTCTACAGTAAACCTAGAGATGTGTTTATCACAGGACATTCTACAGTAAACCTAGAGATGTGTTTATCACATGACATTCTACAGTAAACCTGGAGATGTATTTATCACAGGACATTCTACAGTAAACCTAGAGATGTGTTTATCACAGCACATTCTTAAGTAAACCAGGAGATGTGTTTATCACAGGTCATTCTACAGTAAACCTGGAGATGTGTTTATCACAGGACATTCTACAGTAAACCTAGAGATGTGTTTATGTGTTGTATCACAGGACATTCTACAGTAAACCTAGATGTGTTTATGTGTTTGTGTTTATCACAGGACATTCTACAGTAAACCTAGAGATGTGTTTATCACAGGACATTCTACAGTAAACCTAGAGATGTGTTTATCACATGACATTCTACAGTAAACCTGGAGATGTATTTATCACAGGACATTCTACAGTAAACCAGGAGATGTGTTTATCACAGCACATATCACAGGACATACTACAGTAAACCTAGAGATGTGTTTATCACAGGACATTCTACAGTAAACCTAGAGATGTGTTTATCACAGGACATTCTACAGTAAACCTAGAGATGTGTTTATCACATGACATTCTACAGTAAACCTGGAGATGTATTTATCACAGGACATTCTACAGTAAACCAGGAGATGTGTTTATCACAGCACATATCACAGGACATTCTACAGTAAACCTAGAGATGTGTTTATCACACGACATTCTACAGTAAACCTAGAGATGTGTTTATCACAGGACATTCTACAGTAAACCTAGAGATGTGTTTATCACATGACATTCTACAGTAAACCTAGAGATGTGTTTATCACAGGACATTCTACAGTAAACCTAGAGATGTGTTTATCACATGACATTCTACAGTAAACCTGGAGATGTGTTTATCACATGACATTCTACAGTAAACCTAGAGATGTGTTTATCACAGGACATTCTACAGTAAACCTAGAGATGTGTTTATCACATGACATTCTACAGTAAACCTGGAGATGTGTTTATCACATGACATTCTACAGTAAACCTAGAGATGTGTTTATCACAGGACATTCTACAGTAAACAAGGAGATTTGTTACCAGTTCAGTACAGTATTTGAAGAATACATTTCTATAGTTCTGATATTAAAATCAGTGTATAATGATGATAGTTTTGTCAGTAAAACTGTAACAAAATTGTCACAAAACTGAAAGCATTAATGAACAATCTTTCTAATTCAATGGTGAAAAGTACAAATTTGTAAGAGCATTTTGTAAATCAATTTCTTTCAAAGTTCATTTCAAACCTTAACTCATTGCTGATTAAGATACCCACGGTATTTCATGGAATATAAAAAATATTACAAAAATGTCACATTATGACTTTAACAAACAACATATGATATTTTTGATATGTTTGGTTGGCATACAAACATAATTATATTAAAATTTTGCCGAAGTTTATACATTCAGATTATGTTTCTTACCTTTTTTTCCGTCGGAACGAGGTACGAATCCGAACAAGAACGGGGATACTCAACAGATATGTGCTCATGTCAGATCAAAATAACATCTCCGATACAAAATTCAAAATAGGAAACTATTGCAGATCCCAAAAATCTGTTTCAGTCAGCATTTCCAGACGACAGTAAATTTGGTACATGATGCCATCACCGTCTAGTCCAATAGACACACCTGGGTACCGACTATAATAACTTGTCCATCGATGTTACGACAAACTTGGGACACCCTTAATCATATATACAGTAGAATGTCTGTCACTTTCGTTTCCAGTAGGATGCTCAAAACAGATTGTTGTCTATTCTTTTTTGTATGTCTCAGACAACACAATTGTAACAAGATGAGTTTCAATATTACAAAAGAATCAAGCCTTTTTTTTGTGTCATAGAAGAATAGAATAAGGTTTATGGAATTTGTAAAATAAGGAAAAATATTATATGACGACAAATCTAATGTTTTATAAAGAAAAAGAAGGAAAATTTAGAATGACAGAATAAAATGGGGGACGAATGTAGCAACAGAGAGACTATGAGGTACTACATAGTACAGTA